TATTTTTATGTTATTATTTTTTTTATCACCAAAGACAAAAAAATTCTTGTAACTTTGGCAGGTTTGACTCATCGACCTTGCAACTAGCAGTTCAATCCTTAACATGCTGTGCCACCAGGAACACAGTGTTGCACTTATTTATTCAAACCCTTATTTGATCCATTTGGATTTTGTGGTTTTCATTACAGGTGGTGCTAGTTAAGAATAAGATCTGTTTCTAAGTGTGTAAGTCAAATTTACAGTTAAGTCAGAACGGAGCATATGGTTCTTACTTAGCCTTACTTTAGTGTAAGAAAGACCAGAACATGGAGCAAGTGGAGGTGACTGTGATGAAGAAACATGTCACGATTAGGGGTTGGTTCCGTCGTTTCAAAGTGAGGGCAAATTTATATAACATTAAGGGGCAAGTATAAGTTGCCTGGAAGTTGAATATTCGTAACCTGGATCTGACTGTATATAAGTAGGTCTTGCACTGATGTGCTAGATTGCCTGGGGTCTACAAGTTTAATACATAGACTTCTGACTGGTCTCTGCATCTGCTTTTTATACAGCAGCAGAGTAATCCACAAAGATGTCATCAGATCATGCCCTGTCTCTTTCCAAAACCCTTCACCCTAACCAAAAATGCCATAATTGGCTTCTCCTATCATTCACTGTCCTCAAGCTTATCTCATGTTAGCCACACACTGGCTGTCGCAGGGGGTTTGGGCTTGCTGCTCCCTCTGTAGAACCGTCTTCCCCAGTCACTAGTGTCCCTGCTGAGAAGTCACCCTATCAGAAAGCCTTCCCTTCCCGTACCTAAGATAGCACCCCGTTAAATTCTCTCGGTCCTCTACTTGTATGTCCTAAAAGCACTTACTACTGCCTGACCTATTGCATTTGTAGTTTTTTCTCTTTATTTATTGTCTGCCTCCTGCACCAGAATGTAAGTTCCATGAGGACAGGCATCTTCTGTTGTATTTCCAGTGCCTCAGTTGGTTTGTGGTACCTAATAGGAGGCCTGGTATGATGCTGTATGATAAGCACCGGACTGCTAACCCTAAGCTTAGAGGTTCAAACCCACCAGCCACTCCTTGGAAAACCTATACAGGGTCACTATGAGTTGAAACCAACTCCACAGTCCTTAACAACAGCAGCAGCAACAATAGGTGGCTCAGAAAAGACTTGTCACAGATGTATTTTATCTACTTTGTTGAGAAGGATATTCTTTCATTGGTGGTGGTGGTTATGTGCCATGCAGTCGGTTCCAACTCATAGCGACCCTGTATAGGGTTTCCAAGGCTGTAAATCTTTACGGGAGCAGAAAGCCTCCTCTTTCTCCTGTGGAACAGCTGGTAGTTTCGAACTGCTGACCTTGAGGTTAGCAGATTGACTCGTACACACTACACTACCAGTACTTAACAACAGCAGCAGGAAAATAGGTGGCTTAGTAGATACTAGTCACATATGTATTTTATCTATTTTTGTGAGAAGGATATTCTTTCATTGGTAGTAGCCAATATTATTGGCTTATGTATATATTCTTTACCTAGCTGCATAATGATCTTCATTTTTTACTTTCTCTATTTGTGCCTTTGTTTGGCTAATTCTT